TTAAATGAAACTATATAATTATTACTTGAATCAGCCTTGAGACGCCAGTAATCGACCAGAACTTGGACTCATCCCTGACATGCCTAGCAACTCCAATCCGCCCGCCCCACAAACCTCCGGACTTTGCACCCTCACCATTTTACGACCCGATATTTGACAGCCCTATTGGTGGACAACTACCCCCTGAACGAGTTGACTAAGATACCACCCTCAAAACCCAGGAACACCAAGAGCGTTAACTAGAACAATGAATAGCAACCAAAAATTCTGTAACCGTAACCGACACCATAACGGCTAACTTGGCAAACTTGCAGACTGTTAAAAACGCCATCCTACACCGTCACTACTCCTAACCGCATATAATATCGCTTTCGGATGAGGCATCTATAGGAATAACAAAAAACCCTCCATTCTGAACAGAAACTTAACCATCTTCTCTAAACAGCCCTTGTAGCAGATAAAACGAGCTAGCGATATTCGTCTAAATCACCATCACCCATGCTTTTTTCAACGAACACAAATTAAGCTACCCCAGCAACGATCAGTCCAACCACGATTTAAAAATTATTTATAACACCGCTGCTCGCTCAAAATTTAAGGAAACTTAAGCCTTAATTCCACCTAAACGAACGCTACTTCGACAAACTGAACTGCACGACCAGTAAAACAACTTGCCCAAGACCTGAATTATCAGTAGGCATAGATTCTAACTTTATCAACAAATTCAAATCGTATGTGTAATTCGTAATAACAAGGTAGAACATAATATTCAAAACAGCCAAGACAGCTGTAAATCAGGGGTACTACAATTAAGACGAGAGGTAGCAAGATATGCTACCCAGAAACCTGAAAATTAAAAATCAAAATTAACCCGTAAACAAGAACCACAAATCAACAGTTCTTTCCGCATTCGACTTGTCCCCCTTCCGTACTAAATTCAGAATTTTCAAAACTAATCGTAATAATACTAAAAGCAATGTAGCAAATAAATTCTGTAAATATAAGGAGTCGCAAAAGATGTTAAAAGGAGACAAAACGTAGAGTAATACAAATGTGTTAAGATTCGCACTTCCTTAACCGAATATAAATTTTAAGTCTCCACAAATGATAACATAATTCAATGCATAGTGTACACATTCTCTTCTTCCACATCACAAAGGTCACCGTGGAACTTAACAGAAATCTTGAAATCTAAATCACGCTCGTTTCGTGAATTTGGAGCAATTGAAAATAATCCGGTAATCTCCTCATTTTTTTTGCAAGTCAATGCTTCCTGAAAAACAAAACAGTAAAATATAGAGGCAATTTCACTAGAACAGATTTCAAAATTGTTTAGAAAAAATTTTTGTAGGGAATCATTCTAATTCAGTAAACTAGCTATTTAAAAAAGTCGATGAAAAATTTACACGTTAGTCTACACACATAACTTAGTTTAGAAGCATAACTTAGTTACCTGCAAATAGAAGACAGTCTGTTTCCAATGCGTGTACTGTACATCTGGACCCGTAGAGAAACCGGTTCGCTTGTGACATCTCGAAAATTCGACGGTGAAGAACGTTACTAATGCTTGCACGTAATCATTCCGCGTAATTTTCAAAGAGAAGTCTGTGGTCCAAGTCAACTCTTCTACTCTAACAGTATATAAATCGACATCCTGAAATGTGAGGCGAGATATGCAACATAATAAATCGACGTGAAATTTTTGTTTGAAGACTAGACGGTACACAAGACGTTGCTGGAACAGTAAAGGGATATAAACTTATCAATTAAATATTTCGCGCAGTGTAATGAATCTACTATAACCACTGTGATTAATAACTTTTCTATAAGATAAACGTTAAAGAAAAGATTCACCCGTAAAAGACAATTATTAGTCACAACTTGGCCATGATCTACAACATCAACTAAAGGTTCCGTTATTGCCACTCGCCGAATACTTGACATGTTGAAACCGTACACATTGTCCCACCTAAACAAACCGAGATGACTAACTGTACTTCGCGAAAACAAATAAGGCTCAAAACCTTCTAAATTTACCATCCGAAAGTGAACTTCATTTACAAAAAAATTTTAATTAAAAAACTATAGAAACAATAGAACGTCAACAAATCTTCTCAGACCAGTTAATCTTGTCTTCCTTGTACTGTCTATCTTCAATAGCACATAAATACAATTTTGCTCTGTCAGGGAAAAGTGCACCACCAGGTTTAAGCCATCTATCACGAGCGAAAATAACAGTATTCAACATTGACTCATAAAACAAGCAATACCCCATCCATTCTGAGATTATAACGTCAACCTGGAAAAGGGGAGTCACACCCATTGTCATTAAAACTCAACCATCATCTTTATATTGTTCCTTCATTGGAAGATTCTCATACAGCCCCTACTTTTAATCGACCGTCTAATAGAGATCGCCGTCAACGTAAGAGAAGCAATGTAAAAGGCTGTTCCGCGAATTAATTAAAAAGTATCATATATAACCTTTGAAAAAAACTAACATTTCAGGACACAATATTATTTAACAGTATATACCTTTTCAATACCTTCTGGTAGTGCGGTTATATCTTCAACTTTCGAATGCATAACGGTTATAATGTCTTCCAGGTTATTATCTTTTACTATTTGTTTTGACTGTTGCGCCATGTTTGAAAATTCAATCTGCAAGTAAAAAAAATTTTTTTTACAACGTTACAACCATCATCTGCCTTATAAAAGACAATTAAAGTTAACAATTCTTCCCCATGTCATAAGTAAGACTTCAACTCACTGCGATAACTTTTTTAGCTCCAGCTTTTGCAGCAAACATAGACAAGATTCCTGTTCCAGAACCTACATCCATGACAATTTTGTCCTTGAAAAGATGTCTATTATGATATATTGCATTTCTGTAGGTAACTGTTCGAACTTCATCCTTCAGCATCTCCTTAAAAATCCATTATCTTTTTCTATCCAAAACAAACAACGCATCAAAGAGGAAACCTAGTTCACATTTACTACCATTAAAGACAGCATAACCAGAATGGCTAAAAAACAAGGTTTACTTAAAGAAAAAAAATGCAAAACTGAGGAGGAAGCATGCATACTTCATGAATACCGAAATGAGCATAAGAATCAAAATAATAATCTTTGCTGGTCATTTCGTTATATGCAGGTCGTTGCGAGCCTTCAACGACATTACCATTCTGAGATACCGACGCCATAACTTTTGAAACTCAAGCGCAGGAAGCGCGCTGATCTTACCCTGCAAATAATTCTTTTTCATATTATTATCATTATCAGTATCATTACCAGTAAAAATAAATTTTTTTCTTTGATTCAGTCAAAAGTTGCCAAAGTTCACAATATATCTACCACAAATTGAAACTTTAAGTGAATACGCTTAAATCAAATGCTTATTGCGATCGTCAGCGGTATATATTAATTACCTTGACTTTTCTTGCAACAAAGAGGTGATTGAAAAAAGTTTTCGGATTTTAAAAATTATAACTTAAATTGATGCTATTTTTTCTACAAATACAGTTTGACCGATGGGTAAAATGTGTTAAAAGCGCACTACCAGCGAGAAAATTTATTGCAACACA